ATATAATTAATCTTAACTTTATATATAATTAATCTTAACTTTATATATAAAGTTAAGATTAATTATGTTAAGGTTAATACAATTAGTTGATATGAAGTTGAAATCGCTTACTTCTATCATAATCAGATAATTTTGCTTTATTTAATAATTCTAGCATTTCAGCCACTTCATTTTCTTTATCCTTGATCATAGTTTTTAAGAGGTTTACTTGCTCTCTATATTCTAACGCAATATGCATCATAGGTAGTATAAAATGTTGATAAAGGACTGATTGTTCATCGAGAGCATTAATCTTCATATTTTCGGTTTCTCGTGATAATGATATCATTTCACATGAAAACAACCATCGAAGAGATGCCAACCCGAGATTTATTGATGTTCTTAAATTGAACTATATGATATGATGATAATATTAGTAACTGTTGATATATATTATTGACATGTTGGCAATTAAATGAAAAATGAGGAAAAAAAAGGCATTGTTGCCTTGTTTTTGACTAGTTCGACATCATAGGCTGAATCCTCTCTTTGAACTTTCAAAAGTTCAGAGAGCAGTGTTAACAAATTTGGTAATTGAAGTTCATCCGTAATATCTAAACCTGTTTCTATCTCCTTAATAGCACTATTAAATCAATATTAATGAATCAAAAAAAAAAAAAAAAAATGTTATCGTTATCGATGCCTTACTTTTGCGCGTGCAATTATTTCCATGCCTCTTAATTCTTCAAACCAAAGACGCCGTAGATCCGTAACAAGTACAAGATAAAAGTCATTTTTGAAAATAGATTTGATTAGGTAAGCTTTTTCATCACTTTTAGGTTCTATATCATCATTAATATTAAAAGCCACCCAATCCGCGGAACAAAGTTCAGCACTATGGTTACAAGTAAATGGCATTTTTACAACGAATTTTTGGATTATCAAAATTAAGAAATTGTTTTGATGTAATTTATTCGTTATTAGCGTAAAAGTTGGTACTTACTGATTGGACATTGTCATGTGATTCTTTTATTACAATGCGAAATATCTTCCCCAGCAGAACAGTGGACGGTGCAATTCACATGATTTGTTAAAGACATACTGAGATATTATGACGCACTTAAAGAGTTGCACATATAAAAAAGGGTATTGATTTACAAAAATTTATTGAAATAGATTATTCATCGTAGTAACTATCTGCCAATAAAAAAAAAAAATCGACTTTTTAAAAAAAAAAATTTGAAATATGAACTTTCAAAATCTACTCAAAAATGGCTGTTTTTTACATTTGGGGGGTATCGAATTAATGTCGGAAATCATTTGTATTACAGAATTACAGGATACGTACGTACGTACGTACGTACAGTACGTATCGGATAAGTATAGCACAGCATAGAGTGTAGATTTAGCCAGGGCGGCCCCCACAAAGTGAACCGGTGTTAAATCACCACCCAAAAAAATTTCAGAGTAAAAATTTACGATATTAGATTAGAGTCTGTAATTTGTTA